ATTACTGTCAGTCTATTATTAGGGGCATTAATTCTGCCACCACTGCTAATAACACAGATTCGGTATAAGACGAATGCATGCAGGTGCACTTCCTGCCCCCATGTCTAGCACAGGGAAGGCAGGCAGCCATCGGCTCCCAAGCATGAACCACAGAGGGAGAAAGCACATTGGGAGATCCTTCCATCCAGGCCCCTCTCTGTGTGACAGAGAGGGAAACTGAGGTCCCATCACGGAAAACGGTTGCTTTTTTTTTTTTTTTTTTGTGATGCTGGGGATTGAACGCAAGGCTTTCTCATTGCTAAGCAAGTGTTTTACCAATGAGCTACTGCCACAGCTCTTAAAAAAAAAATTGAGAGAGGGTCTTATTCACTAATTGCCTAAGTTGACCTTGAACTCACTCTGTAGCCCAGGCAGGCCTTGAACATGTCATCCTCCTGCCTCAGCCTCCTGAGTATGTATTGCCTCTTCCTCTGGGTGGCTGGGCTGTATGAAGTTGACTCTGATACCCTTCCAGGCCCTTGGAGAAGTGACAGGTCCAGAGGGTGTCTTTCTGAGCTAATATGGCACTTTAGCCCCAGTCTCTACCTTTCTCCATTGACCTACTCCCCTACATCCTCCTGGCATTCCCAATCCCAACAATTTACTCTCCCAACCCCTCCCATCCCAGGCACCTTGCACATGCTCATGGGAAGCATGGGTCCTCTCTCTAAGTCACCTGCTCTGTAGATGCCCAGTGTAGACTCCAGGACTCCTTCCATAGAGGGCCACTGTTGTGGTCCCTCAGGCTGTGTGCTGGGGAGGGGCGAATCTGATAATTGGGTCTTCACATTATAGTGGTATGTAGTGTGTGTGTGTGTGTGTGTGTGTGTGTGTGTATTCTTGTTCACCTCCTATGCCTCTGAGCTTGATGGGCTGGTGCAGTCTAGGACATGGCTGAGGAATTTACAAGTGTGGGTGGGACTTCCATCTGTCTGCGGGCAATCCGGTTCCAGGGACACGCCTCATTCTGGGTGTCTGTGTGTGCATGTGCAGCTGTGAATGTGTCTTGATACCTGAGCTGGCTGCAGTTTGTCAGAAGAAATGGTTTCAGGCTGGGGGAGTGCTGAAGGGCCTTGGAGGGCTTGTGAAGCTAGGGCTAGAAGCTGACTGACCACAAATCCTCCTGCAGGCATAGGGTGGCGGGTCAGTGCTGTGCCTCCCAGAGGATTCCCGGTAACATCCTGGAGGGGGAGTGTCTTGAGGGGTGCCTATCCTTGGAGCTTCCAGAGTATCCCTGAGAGCTCAGGTTCCCTTTCCCTGTGACTCACAGCAGGCTCTAGTTCCCCTGGAGATCACTATTCAGCTAATTCTTTCTCTGGTCCCATTAATCTGAGCTGACTAAGCGAGAGCCACAGGCGGGGTAGAGACTGGGGGATACTCATGACAGTGGCAGTCATTCTCAAACAACTCAGTTGGCCTTGCTTTAGCTTCTGTCCATCTTCCTGCCCTGGCCTGGCCATGCCTGGTTAGACTAGTCATGCCTCCAGCCCGCCCCCCCCACCCCTTCCGTGCACATAGCGGCAGTATCTGGACACCAGACTTAATTCATCTTCTATCTGAACTCATTCAGATAGTTTCACTTTAACTAACTAACTAATTAATCAATCAATCAATTAATTAATTAATTAATTAATTTTGAGACAGGAGCTCACTATGTAATACTGGCTGGCTCAGAACTCACTATATAGACAAGGCAGGCCTTGAACACACACAGATCCACCTGCCTCTGCCTCCTAAGTGCTGGGATTAAAGGCTTACACCAACATGCCTGGCCTTTTATTTTGATTTTTGGTACTGGGCTGGAACCCAGGGCCTCAGGCTTTCTCACTGAGCTACACGCCTCAGCTGAACTTTTTATTGTCGGCCAGCATCCAGTCCTTTAAGACCCAAATAAGGTCAGGAAGCTGAGGGCCTCTTTGGGGACGAACCCATCTAATCCATTTGTCCCAGGAGTGGGGCTCTGGGCTTCTCAGTATTCAGAGAATAAAGTTAGGGGCACTGACAGAGATGCTGGATTCCCAAGGAATCTGTGCATAGGGTTGTCCATCCTAAGGGGGTATCAACGGGAATATGGGACTAAGAAGGAGGGTGTACGGAGGCTGAAAATGTGAGGCAGGAGGAAGAGGAACATGGGGTTGTAGAGACTGCAGTAAAGTTGGGCATGGGGAGATGTGGAAAGTGAGTGGAACTGGGATGCAAGTGGAGATAATGCAGAGTCAGGTGTAATGACTGCACCTGTAATCTCAGCACTCAGGAGACTGAGGCAGCAGACTCTTGAGCTCAAGTTAAGCCAGGGTACATATGGAGAGCTGGTAAAAGGGAATGGCTTTAAGGTTGGAGTAGGAAAGGAGGTAGGGGCAAGGGTGGGGTGGAAGGGATGGGGGTCAAACATGCTGGGGGACAATTTGATGAATGTACCTGGAATAAATTCTCTTGGAGGTCGCCAAGTCTTTCCCCTGCACTGAGCATGTTATGAGCCCCACCCTACTCTTCCTTCCCAGATCAATGGTGGCTTGCCCACCCAAGAAACCACCTCTTGGGGTTACATGAGCAGTCTTCCTGACATCATCATCTCGCTCTGTGAGAGCCCATCAGGCTGCAGCAGTGATAGTGGAAGGCCTCCATCCCTCTGGTATGGCCAGAAGTGGCCCATAAGGCAGGCAGAGTGGCACATGCCTGTAATTCCAGGACTTGGGAACAGCAGGATCACTGTGAGTTCAAGGCTAGCCTGGCTATATAGGGAGATCCTGTTTCAAAACAAACAAACAAACAGATAAGAAGTGAATCCAATCTCATTAGAATATGATGCTGGAAAGAACGACAGAGGGCGGCAGGTGCGGACACTAGAGTTCCCAGGACATTTCTACGTGACTGAGGAACAGGCTCTGGCTATGTGTATGGACCCAGGGCAGGGTGTGGGGTTCTGCTGGTCCATGAAGACCAGGCTCAACTCAAGCTAGACAATGGGAAGTTAGACAGCAGGGAGGACTACCTGGTTGGGGAAGATGGAGAGTACAAGTGTAATGATGCCCTGTGGCTTTCTTAGAGGGCAGAAGGGGCTTTCCATAGGGACAAAAAGAAGCCTTTCCCTGGGGCAAAGAATGACAGGTAAAAGACAGCATGTGCCATGAGGGGCTTTTCCCTTGTCTTTAACTGTCCCAGTGTCTCTCTCATAAGGAGTAGTAAAAGCTACTAGTTGAAAGAAGTGTGGAGTCAGCTTGTAGATAAAGATGGAGAGAGGGACGGGCCTTCAGGCCCCCTAATCTTTCTCTTCTCTGGTTTTTCCATGATATACTTAATAGTGCAGAGGATTTTGGGGCTTCCTGAGCCCCTGGGAACTAAAGTCCTTTGAGAACTCTCCGGCATTCCCGGGAGAACAGGTTCCTGGCCCTGAGTGAGGCGCCGGGCCTGGGGGTGCAGCGTGCCTCAGCAGGCCCTGCAGCCTGGAGCTGAGCTCGGCAGAGGCTGTCCGGGCGGGGCCGGGCAGGGAACTGGGAGGATAAGGGCTCCTCCCCCTGGCATCTTCACCCCTGAGGATCTTCAACCTAGGGCAGCCCTAGGCCCCTCTGCCCTCAGCCTTTCCTGAGGGAAACTCTGTCCTGCCTGGCCCACCATAGGGCCTTTATAGAGCCATAAGAGAGAAAGACTAGGAGAGAGGTGCTGCCCTGCCTCTTTAGCAGGGGCTGACTTCTGTCTGCACCCTGCCTTGTTCTGTGGGTCAGGATGGTAAAAGGGACAGGACTGGAGTGCTCTACCACTGTATCCACCCCCAGTCTCATCAGTCCAGAGAAACTGGGGTTCATTGGTGGGGGGAAGTAAAGGTAGAACTGGACCCTGCCCAGTAGAGATGTCAGAAAGATTCTGAGGGAACTGACCAAATCTCCTCCTGAAGGGATTAGAAAACTGTGAGGATGAAGCTGTGTCTGGTATGGGAAGTGTCCAGCACAGAGGTAGGGGACAGATGGGATGAGATGATTTCTCTGGTACTTTGCTGCTGACCAGCTGTGCCCTGCTACTAAATACACCCAAATGTGTGCCCCACACCTGTAGGTGCAGAGCAAACACGCCCACTTATTGCTGTAGACGTAATTCAACATGCTTCTTTGGACATAGAGGGAGGGATAGGGGCTCCACAATAAACACCAGGACCCCACTGCTGAGGTAGGGATCAGAGAAGAGGCTCAGGAGCTAGAGGGACTTCCGGCTGCTCAACCCTCCCCTAGGGCCTTTACTCCCTATACCCCCAAGGATAGGCTCTGGAGTCTAGGAACTCTGCATGTCTCAGGTCTGCTCACAACTTATCTCTGATGCAAGAATCTCAAGGAAGAGAGGTGTTTCCAGGGAGATTCTGCCTCCAGTACCGCATCGACTCTAGGTCCACAGCACCTGTTGTCTCTGTCTGCTTCTCCACCAGGTGCACCATCTCTTCTGCAAGCCAGGTCTCCCCACAGGCCCAAGGGTTTACAGATCCCAGCCCTGGCAGCCCAGAGAGCTTGAGGGTTCCCTGATCCACCAGATCCCCAGAGCCGGGTGCTTCACTTCCCACTGCAACAGCCATTCCATCTCAGTTGGGGTTCTGCCTGTCTTTGGGCTCTAGCTCTCTAGTTGGGAGTCATCACTGCTTCCCAGGCTAGGGTGGTTAAGCGCACCTTGCCACCACACACATTCACCATCTAGAAGCCAACCATGCATGCCAGGATGGAGTCTACGCTACAGCAAGAAGGATCTAACTTGGACAACCTGGACTAGGAAGGAGAGAGAGGGGTGGGGATGAAAGGATCCCCTCAGCCTCCAGGCACTCACCCTGATCCTGAGCCTTCCTTGGGCTGCACTGAGAAGCTGAGGAGCACCCCAGTGCTCCCAGTGCTCCGCAGAGCCCATTAAAAAGCCAAGCCCCCTCCTCAAGCCCTGGCCCAGCCCTGCTGGCCTCCATGGTTGACTTGGGCCGGGTCTCCTCTTACCTGCTCAGTGAAGCAGGTCGGCTTGGGGGCCTGGGTCTGGGGGGACAGGAGCTCCGTCCTTCTGTCAGTCTGTCAGCCTGGCTGTCCTGGGTCTGCGCTGACATCAGGTGAGGGGAGGCAGCTGCTGGGTGAGCCAATAATTATGATATCAGCTTCCCCTTGCCCCCAGGGGCTGCTGCCAAAAACGGGGAGAAGAGAAAGGTGACTAAGAAGCTAGTTTGCTCCTCAGCTCTTGTTTGACAGGTACTGGCTCCTGTGCCCGCCCAGGCCACGCCCGGCCCCTCAGCCCTCCCCTCCTGCACCAACCAGCGCGGGCCCCCTGTCCCTGCCAGTGGGCACAGCCTGTGGCTTGCGGGGGAGGGGGTGGCTCTGCAGCCCCCACCTGTACCCCAGAACAGAGATGTCAGCCCCCATGGGTGGGGCCCAGGCCTGTTGGGACACGCACCTGTGTGTTAGGAGAGCCCAGCCACCACATGTGTGTTCATGGAGCCGGTGATGGGGTTCTGGGGAACAGCACGTGGTGGCAGTGTGGTGTTCTCTGAGGCATGGTATGGACAGGCAATGATAGGGACCCCTCAAGGGCCCAGTGCTAGCACAGGTTTACTGGGAGCTGTCCACGGGGTCTGTCCACCTGCCCATCTTGTCACCTCTGACTCCTAATGTGGGATGTGCACCCCCAAGTCCACAAGTGATTTTCTTCATGTCTGTGGGCATGCCTCTCTTTCCCTGGGTCCTCCCAGGGACAGTCCATTTGTCCTTGGGTTGGCATGTATCTGCATCTATGTATCCCCTGATGTCTGTGGCTCTGTGTCCCTGTACTCAGGCCTGTTGTCTGTCTCTCTTGTGTTGTCTTTAGGCTTATAGCCACCTGTCTTCGCTCTGGGTCAAGAATCCTGCTCTGGTGTGTATCTGTGGTCTCTGGTGTGTATCTGTGTATCTGGTGTGAGTCAGTAGAGACGGGGGCACTCCAGGTCTGTATCATCACCCCACAATCACTGTTCATGGTCTACAGGATAAAAACATTTGAGTGACTGCTGATCCCCAGCATCTGAGTTTGCAGTGAAAGTGTAATGCCCGGCAGGTCTAGGAGTTGACCGCCATGGGTCCCACCTGCATTAGGCCTGGGGCCTGACCCTGCTCCTCCACAGCCTTCCTTGTCCCACTGCTTTCTCTTTTCCCCAGCCTCTCTTTCCCTCTTTGCCCTCCTTCCCCTTGCCCAACCTCTCTGCCCACTTATATCTCTTTCTGGAGCTAAGGGCTGGATTAAAAATGGTAAAGCTTCTGCCTAGTGGAGCCTAGGATGTAGGCTCTGGCCTGAGAGTATAGGAGGCCAACTCTGCCTACTTCAATGACACAGTGTCTTTGTGGCTGTGGGATGGTGGCAATAATGTGGCACAAGCATGGGGTGGAATTAAGCATTTGGAGACATCTTGGGATGAGGAGATGGCTCAGTGGGTGAACTGCTTGTTTCTGGGGCAGGAGGACCTGAGTTTGGATCCCCAGCACCCATGTCAAAACTAGGCATGGCAGGACACATTTGTAACTCAAGCACTGGTGGGGAAAGGAGGATGGAGACAGGCAGATCCCTGGCCAGTCAGTCTAGCCAAAATGGTGAGCTATAGGTTCAATGAGAGACCCTGTCTCAAAACATAAGGTGAAGAGCAATCCAATCAAGGAAGACATCCTGCATTAGCCTCTAGCTTCCACATCACAGGAGAGTGCAAGGGTGAGCACACACACACGCACACACACACACACACACACACACTCTACAACAATCAACAAACATCAGTGGTAGAGTGGTGGCCTCCCTAGCACATGAGGCCCCTGACCATCTTAAT